CTTTCTTTTATTTATTTATTTATTTTTTTCCCAGTACGGGGAATCAAACTTACGACCTCACGCTTGCCAGGCAGGTGCTGTGCCACTGAGCTAAATCCCCAGCCCCGAGCTGCCAATATTTCAAAGCCAGCATAAACCCCCTTCCTTCCTTTCTCTTCTTTCTTTCTTCCTTTCTTCTTTTCTTTCTTTCTTTTCTTCCTTTCCCTCCCTTCTTTTAGTCCAGGCTGGTCTTGAATTTGAGATCTTTTGCCTCAGTCTCTGCCTTCTGAGTCCTAGGATTATAAGAATGTATTCCCACACCCAGACACAACTTGAATTTTTGTTTTATTAATTAAACTTTTTTTGAGACAGGGTCTAACTAGGTAGTTCAGGCTGGCCTTGAACTCACTATATAGCCTAAGCTGGCCTCAAATTTGTTGTAATCCTCCTGCCTCCGCCTCTCAGGTGCTGGGATTATAGGCATATGCCACCACACCTGGCTACAATTTGAAGTTTTATTTATTTATTTATTTTAATTTAAGTTTTAAAATATCAAAATATCACCTGTAACTATAGGTGCAAAAGACATAAAATAGCAAATCAAATCCAGCAAGGGACTGAAAGAACAATACTTCAAAGAAATAAAAAGATAAAGAAATGTATTTGAAAATAGGATTGTTCTGCCTTAAGAAATCTAAGCCAGGCTGTGCATGGTGGCATAGTGGCATAGTCCTGTAATCTCAGATACTCAGGGGGCTAAAACAGGAGGCTCTAGCGTTATAGGCCTGCCTGAATTACATGGAGAGACCCTGTGTGTGGCGGGGGAAGAGACCTTATCTTAAAGTTTAAAAAAGATCAGAAAAAGTTGGGGACATAGGTCATTATGAAGGTCCTGGATTCAACCCCCAGTACTCTCACCACTACAGAATTAAAAATGTACTTAATACTTACGAATGTTCATAGCAACACTATTCACAATAGCCAAGAAGGGCTGGGGATATAGCTCAGCGGCATAAACGATTGCCTGGCAAGTCTGAGGTCATGAGTTCCATTCCTGGTACCAAAAAAAAAAAAAAAAAAGTGTATGTGAAACATGTTTCTGTTGGGCTGGGGATTTAGCTCAGCAGCACAGCACCTGCCTGGCAAGCGCAAGGTTCGATTCCCGGTACCGGAAGAAACACACAAGAAAACTAAAAACACAACAGCCAAGAGATGGAAACCACTCAACTGGTCATGGACAGATGAGTGGGTAAATGGTCTTTGCACCCAATGGAGTATGGGTGCATAAAAAGGGCCACAAAAAGTAATGAAGCCAGGCGTGGTGGTACATGCCTATAATCCCAGCACTCAGGAGGCTGAGACAGGAGGTTCACTGCAAGTTCAATGCCAGGCTGTGCTAGAAGGTGAGTTCAAGGCCAGCCTGAACTGCATGATGATACCCTGTCTCAAAAAGACAAAAAAAGAAAGAAAGAAAGAAATGAAGTACTGATACATGCTATGCCATGGGCAACCTTGAAAATATCACACTAAGAAGCCACACACAAAAAATAGTTATATTTTAAAATATTTTTGGAGAATATGCAAAAACATACAGTAAGTTAGTGGTTGCCAGCATCCAGTGGTTGCTAATGGTTGCAGCTTTGGGGGTGGGTGTGTAAGGAAAATTATCTGGAATTAATGGTGATGATTGCACAACCTTGTGAATACACTAAAAACCCTGACTTGTATAAGGTACACACTTAAAAAGGATAATGATTTCTCCAGCACCACAAAAATAAGGCAAAGCTTATAGTATATGAGCTGTATCTTTTTTTTTTTTTTTTTTTTTTTGTGGTTTTTCTCCGGTACCGGGAACCGAACTCACGACCTTGCGCTTGCCAGGCAGGCGCTTTTTGCCGCTGAGCTAAATCCCCAGCCCCTATGAGCTGTATCTTAATACTTTAAAAAAAACCCACAAAGTAATTTCAACTAGAATTCCAAGAGCATTGTGTTTGCAGAGAAGAGGCAAAGGGAAAACAATCTTTATCCCAAATATTATTTGGAAAAATACACAGAACAGGCAAGGAAAAACTGAAGAAATCTAACAGCTATTAAAATATGCAGCCGGAGCTGGGCATGGTGGTGCAAGCCTGTAATCTCAGCACTCGGGAGGCTGAGGCAGGAAGATCATTGCAAGTTTGAGACCAGCCTAGGCTACAAAGTGAGTTTAAGGCCAATCTGACTGCATAAAGAGACCCTGTCTCGGAAAGACAAAAAAAAAAAAAAAAAAAAAAAATGCAGCCAGGTTAAAAATTGATGCATCAGCCCCAATGATTGCTCTTTCTTAGTCTTCATCTGGGTCCTCATTAGGTTATTTTGTACCAAGTCTAAAGCTGTGACGGCCGGGCGTGGTGATGCATGCCTATAATCTCAGCACTTGGGAGGCTGAGGCAGGAGGATCATTGTGAGTTCGAGGTTAGCCTGGGCTACAAAGTGAGTTCAAGGCTAGCCTAAACTGCATAGTGAGAACCTGTCTCAAAACACACACACACACACACAAAGCGTAGTTATTGTAATAAAAAAGAATAGCAAAGGAAAAAATAGATCAGTTCACTAGAATTCAGAAATACAATGTGTGAGTATGTTATTTAATATACCATGTGGATTACTATTGATGTTAACTTCAGGCACATTGTTAAGGCTATATATATGAGGTTTCTCCCAGGGTGGGCTAGAATTTGTGATTTTCCTGCCTTGGCCTCACAGAGTGCTTGGGAGTACAAATCCGGCTTAAATTTTGATTTTTTTTTTTTTTTTTTTTTTCCTTTTTGAGACAAGGTTTCACTTTGTAGCCCAGACTGGCCTCAAACTCAAAGGGATCCTCTTCCCTCAGCCTCTTGAGTGCTGGGATTACAGGT